TGCAGCAAAAACCATTGTGATCGCTCTGACTCAGAGCGATCACAATAGGATGAAATCTTCAGTCCGCTTCGCTCGACATTCCACATGGCCATGCAGCAAAAACCATTGTCATCGCTCAGGATGAAATCTTCAGTCCTCTTCGCTCGACATTCCACTTGGCCATGCAGCAAAAACCATGTGATCGCGCTGACTCAGAACAACCGCCTCTCGTTGCTCGTAATCGCAACAAGACCAGTACACTATTTTGGTGGCGCAGACCGCAGGCCATGACAGCAAGGGGGCTTCAATGCTTAACTCCTCTTCCAGATCGCACACCTCCCAACCCAGACCCCTGCGAACCTTCGTCGACCTCTCAGTCCATCACTGATCCCTCCTCTTCCACCTCCTAGAACAGGCCGTGTTAGAAGACGTTACACAACACGGTTCCCTCCTCTTCCATTCCCTACACCTTCAACCCCACTGCCCCTCAGCCTTCATCGGCCCCTCCATCTACCGCTCGTCCCTTCTTCGACGCCTCCATCCACCGCTCATCCCTTCTTCAACCCCTCCATCCACCGTTCATCCCTTCCTCCCCCCTCCCCCCTCTCCACACCCCTCACTGCACACCTCATGGTACGTCCTCGAGTTGCACCTCCATCCACCACCCGTCCCTTCATCGACCCCTCCATCCACCACTCATCCCTTCTTCGACCCCTCCGTCCACCACTCATCCCTTCTTCAACCCCTCCATCCACTGCTCATCCGATTCCCTTCTTCTCCCCCCCCCCCCTTCCTTCCCCGCAAACCTCATCTCAAATTGCACCTACTCTTCCACCACGTCCTCGAGTTGCGCCCGATGCCTCGTCTATCTTTGTTTCTTCAGGGCAATTTCCCCTTCAGCTTGTCTCCCCTTACTCTGCCTTTTTGTAGCTAGCCATTCATGGCCGTGGCGCCATCTGCTGGCCATCACAGGAAGTTGGCAGGTTGATTTCACAGCTAGAAATGTAGGCTCATATGTCACCCAAAGTGCTTCCCGTCGTTTCCTTCTTTATCGTTGAGGGAGCAAACAAATGGAGAGAATCTTTGCTCTCCGGTACCCCCCTTCAGACCTGGGCAGGCAAAGAAGCTGGCAGGGGGTGCAAGTTGCACACCCATTGTTTCCATTTTGTGAACAAAAATACACACGGCAAGTCTCATCTCGTCGTCCGCAGCAGCGACAGTCACGCTTTCCAGAAATTTAGACAATAGCGAGTACCAGGTACCCACCAGATGTCTATAAGTACCACATTCGTTGACGATCGCCGCAGAACTCCTCACATTCTTGTTCAGGTCCTTCGAGAGTAGACGACACCCAAATAGTTTAACAGTGGTTAGCGAAAGGAATGGAAAATGTTATCTTGCAAACTCAAGGGCATACTGCTGCACATTTCACAACGATCAGATGACAGGAACACCTGACGTTCTACCCCTCCCCCCCCCCCCCCCCCCCCCCCCCCCCCCCCCTCCCTCTATCAGCCCCCCCCCCCCCCCCCGCCCCTCTCTCTGGCCGCTTCATCGGCTGCATCACAGTCCTCCCCCCTATCACACGTCATCTCTCCCTTCTCTCTCAGTTTCTCAAACTGAACAACAAGCAAGCACAAATCCATACCCTCCCTCTTCACAAGATAGGCTTCTGCCTCTTCGCCAATGGGTCCAACTCTACACAAAATACACCTCCCTCCTCTCCCTCTCCTATTCCCCACTCCGTCTCCATCCGACATGCAATCTGCCTATGTATTTACCTACATGTCCCCATTCTCTCTCTCTCTCTCTCTCGCACACACACGCACACACACACAATGCCAGCAGTCGCCTCCTGGCCTATGCGGAGAGTTCGCATCGCTGCACCGTCAGCCACACACACAATGCCAGCAGTCGCCTCCTGGCCTGTGCGGAGAGTTCACCGTCAGCAATCCCCCAAAACATGAGGGAGGGAAAAGGAAGAGGGCAACGTGCTACCCCTCACAGACAGGGAGAGAGACTGGAGACAGCAAGACAAATGGTAGGCGATAGGAGGGATCGGCCAGCAATCAGCACGATCCTAGCTACAGCTTACTCACAACAAACCCAGACAAAGATGCTCGCCTTCTCCGCAAACAGCCTCTTGTGCTCTCTTGTCGCTGCGTTCCTCCCCCAAAGTTTCACCCTTCTGGCTTCTCTTCGACTTGCGTGCATCACAGCACACTCTCACAGTGACACAGCACACTCTCACAGTGACTACCGTTTTCACACGAATACAAACGCCCGGTCATTATAAGGCCAACTTTCAGTCCAGATGCAGCCAGAATGACCAGGCATTCTTTTCCGGCGAAGTCGGTACTCCTCCTTTTGAACTGATCTCTGACTGCAATTGCGTCCAGATACGTCCAGTTACCAGCTGTAACTGCAGTCGGTTCCATCTAGGACAGTCTGAGTACGAGTATGCTCTCAGGCGCTCCTCTCTTCTTTTTGGAGTTTTGATCGACTTGTAGACGTGATGCCTGTTATACACAGCAGCTCATCAACTGGCGTCCAGATACGTCCAGTACCAGCTGTAACTGCAGTCGGTACTAACAGATGACCAGATCCATCTAGGAGAGTTTTCTGTCTCATTCGTTTGGCAAGCATCAGTTAGTTTTCGAGTCGCAGCGAAGGCCTCTGGTCATTCACATCCACGTTGCCAGCAGCTCTACCGGCTGTGATCTTGACTGTGAGGCCAAAACACCAAAACACAACTCTCCCAGATTCGAGGCGCATGCTGAAGGACCCAGAGAGGCATCCACACTTCTAACCACGAGACGCAGACGCAGAGGAAAATGGCGCTGTCTCAAATTAGCACGAGAACCGCACTTCTAACATCTTACTTCCCTCTCTCTGCTCAGGCTACTACCGTCTTCCCCCGAACATAACGCACCCTGAAAATGAACGTATACAACGTATGTTTCCGGCCCAATACCGGCAAAATGGGGGTGCGTTGTGTTCGGGGGAAGACGGTAGTTATCTGCTCCTGCCTTCTTCCCCAAACATACCCTGCTCCCCATCACCGCCCCGATTCCTGTCTCCCCCTCTTCCTAAAGCAACACATTCTCTCTCTCTCTCTCCCTATCCCCCTCCC